AAATTTCCTGAAAAAAATTGTTTCACAATCAGAGTAACCTTTTAGAAAAGGTGTAAACTTTCAGTAGAGGTGTAAGTTCTTGACAAATGGTGTAAACTTTATGAAAGCATATTCTCCATAGAAGGTGTAACTTTTCATAAAACATGTAAATGTTTGCAAAAATATGTAAGTTATGTGACAAAATGTGTTAGTTTTGTTTTCAGAAAAGATGTAAGTTACAATAAAAGGTATAAATTTTATGAAAAAATATTTTCACAAAAGAAGTAATTTTTCAAAAAACGTGTAAGTATTTCCCCCAATGGTGTAAACTTTCAGCAAATGTGTAGTTTTTAACAAAAGGTGTAAACTTTATTCAAAAATATTTTCCATAAGGGGTGTAAATATTTTTACAAAAAATGTAAGTTATGTTACAAAAGGTGTAAATTTTCTAATTCACAAAAGGTGTCCACTAAGAGGTGTAAACTTTATGCAAACATATTTTCCATAGAAGGTGTAAATTTTTTCACACAAGATGTAAGTTATTTGACAAAAACTGTAAGTTATGTTCTCAAAAAAGGTGTAACCTCCAATAAAAGGTGTAAATTTTTTTAATAAAATTGTTTACAAAAGTAGTAACTTTTCACAAAAGGTGTAAGTATTTCAACGAAAAGATGTAAATTTTACAAAATAAATTATTTCACAATGTGTAACATTCCACAAATAGTATAAGTGTTTTCACAAGAGATGTAAGTAACTTTGCAAAAGGTGTAAGTTTCGTTTTTTCAAAAAACATGTAAGTTCCTAAATCCAATCGTTCAAATATTGGCAATGTCGGAGAGAAGCGGCGTTTTGGAGGGCTTGGTTTTTCTCTCAGTAGGAGTTCGTTTCAGAAGACCAGTTTGGAAGGGCTTGGAATACCGACTCCAATTCCAAATCCAACCAAGTATGTCAATGTTAAACAGAACCATTTTTAATATAGAGGAAGGGACAGAGAGAGAGAGAGACAGACAGACAGACCAAGATCGACAGACAGAGAGACCGAGATGGACCATCGACAGAGACAGCCAGACCGAGATAGACAGAGAAGAGACCGAGATGGACAGAGACAGACCACGATCGCTGGAGACAAACCGACATAGACAGGGATCGATAGCGAAAAACCGACATCGACGAAGAAGAGACCGACATCGACAGAGAGAGACCAAGATCGATAGAGACAGAGAAAAAAACCTTTCATTTGCGGCAGTGGAGGTGGCGGTGGCGGTGGCAATAACGATCGCCGTGGCAGTGGCGATGTCAGATGGCGGTAAGCACCAGAGGCCACTGACGCTTGCATGGTCAGCGGGGGTCAGGATTGGTGGTGACTATTCTCTGTGTGTGTGAAAGAGAACAAAGAAAGGGGTGGTGGGAAACAGAGAAGAAGCGGGCCGATGGTAATAAGATTTTCAATCTTTAGCGACTAAACTGTGATTTGTCGATAAAATTTATACTAAACTAAATTTTACACCCTTTTTTTGAAACGTTACACCTTTTTTGAAAAGTTTCTAAACTTATACCTTTTCATCAAAATACTTACACCATTTTCTGAAAGTTTATACCTTTTCGTCAAAACACTTACACCATTTGAAATTATTAATATATTATATTATTTAATTAATTTACCTGCCAAGTGACCCGTTTAGCAGGTCACCAATGTGTAAACTTTCAATAAAATGTCCTATAACCCAATACATAAAACGTGTAAGTGCAAAGTACTAAGGGTGTAAATGCCTTGCATACCATATGTAAGGCACACCTAAGAAAGGTCCTTTGGAAAATTACGTCTTACCATTGAGGCTTTCAATCACATAATAAATCAAACTTTTTATTCAAATTTAAAATCAAATTAAAAGAAAAAATTGATGAAGGGTTAGAAATGCTTAGTGTTGTTAAATTGAGGAGACTACCCATTCCTCTTTATTTCCTATTCCTTCCTAAACATTCTTAGCTGCTTCAATTATGTGACATTTTTTTCTCTATTTCAACATTTGTCTTTTATGTTAGTATTATTATTCAAATTCGTTGTGTTACAATTGAACATTGTAAAAATGCTTAAATCATATTATTATATAAAATTAAATTTAAAAATATAATTTGGATATAGCACGGGTAGAAAACTAGTTAAGATCCATATACAAGTGAAAATATTTGACCCACGAAACTCTTAGTGGAACGTACTTAGAAATGGCCACGGGATAGGTTTGTTGTTCCTCGCCCTCGCCCCATATCATTTGGGGGATGACCACGGGTAGGGGTGGGCAACGGTTTATCCGAACCGCTCAAACCACCCAACCCGCATATAAATGAGCGGTTTCGCAAACATAATGCGGGCGAATGCGGTTTGAAATATGACAAATTTACGGGTTGCGGAGGGGTCACGGGTTAAACCCGCAACTCGCAAAAACCGCCCGCACTTTAATTGTTATTATTATTTTTTATATACCAATTTTGTAACTTTAACAGGAGCACCATTATGTTCTCTATGACACTAGGATCCTTATTTTTAAGTATTTCTCAACTTTCTTAAGGCCGTAGAATTATCAATTCTTAAACTTGGTTTCTTATATGATTTTCATTGGTGACTCATCCACTTTTTTTTAATAAAATTTTTCTTCTGGTGGTTGATGGAACTTCTAGTTTGATTATTGATTATTGATTATTGAACTGGCAATTCTAATTGAGTACAACCTTTAATACATTGATAGACATTTTTTACTGCATTGATATACATTTTTTTTCATGGCAAAAATGCTAGTGTAGGGTCTCTTTGTTTTGGATACTTTCATTTAATGCATTGATATTCAATTTTTATTTGTAAACTCATCAGAAAATTATTGTCAAATGATCACAAATATATAAAATGAATTTGATGCCTAAATTCAATGGGGGAAAAAAAACTCAAAAATTAATTTTTAAAGAAAAAAGTGTAAACCGCAAGCTGCCCGCACATCTGCAAACCCTATCTGCACAAACTGCAAACCGCACTGCGGGCGGTTGCGAGTTGACTTTTTCCCAGATCGCATAGATGTGGGCAGGTCAAAACTGAACCGCAAACCACACAAAACTGATCTGCGAGCACCTCTAACCACGGGATAATGATTTATAATTAATGGAAGTTAAAAGATGTAAGATGAGAAATAAATTAGTGAAAATAATTATTAAATGTAACATATTTAGCTTTAATTTTATCATATTCAAAAGATAAAAAAATATAATATATATACATATAAATATATGTAGTAAATATAATCGAGGCAGGGGCTATGGTGGGGCGAAGGCGGGGGAAGCAAAACCTAGCCCTGCTCCACTTCGTCATTGGGGTGGGAAAATCCCATGCAGAGGTAGACGGGCGATGCAAGAGCAAAGCAGAGTGGGCAACACATGCCAATCCCTATGCACCTTCTTAGAAAATAAATTTATTCTAGACAATTTATAAGTTCAATATGTTTCTCTTTCTCTTTCTCATTTTCTCTAATAACATATTTTAAATACTTTTTTAATATAACTTTGAATTAAATTAATGAATTGATGTTTTTATATATATATTAATTATTAGAATACATTTTTTAATAATTAAAAGTTGAGTAATCCTACGAATCATGAAACTAATCTAAGGATGATTGCATAACATAATAAAATACTACAAACTAATTTAAGAGTAGAAAATATTAATGATATTTCGTTCATAATATCTAGAATTATTGTTAAAAGTTCAATCATTTAAAAACATTAGAAATATGTATGTAATTAGATATACACAATCACATTATATGATAAAAATTAAATTACATAATGATCGTATTAAAAATAACTTGTATATTATTTGTGTATTTCTAAAATAAATCTCTCAAACTATTTAATAATACAATACATTAAAATAAAACATTAATACCATTGAAATATAACGATGTGTGTCTTTGTGATGGTCTCACACTTTGATTTCTCAACCAAAGATTTGGACTAGTCCCCATGCACCCCCACCTACACAAACATTAATAGTAAGTTTTGTACAATTTTGTCGGGCTTCAAGTAATAGAAAATTCAAGAGAATTCAAACCCTAACACATTCTAATGTGGGTCTAGATAAGACAACAACTGCTTCCGAATTTTTTCAATCACTCACCCATGTTCATGGCAAGTGCACGAGAGAGCCATTGATCGAAGATAGCTTTAGCGATCCAAGTCTTTTTCAACCATCTCAGCGTCGAGCCTTTTGATTTAACTCAAATTATTTTATTTTATTTTATTTATTTATTATTTTTTATTTTGTGTCTGCACGCGTGTGCAGTAGGATTTTGCTTTTGTTGATTGCATCACTTCAAGAAATAACACTTTTGGCGACCAAATTTAGCCACTAAAACAATTTGGTCGCCAAAAGCTATTGAATTAGCGACCAAATATTTTATTAGTCGGCAAAAGTAAAAGATTTAGCTACTAAAGCTTTTTAGTCATTGTAAATTGCTTATCGGCGACTAAAAAAAATTTAGTCGCTAATTATCAAACAATTAGCGACTATAATATTATTTAGTCACTAAAAATTGAATAATTGGCGACAAAATTAAATTTTAGTCGTTGTACAGTGACTTTTGGTTACTAAAATTATTTAGTCGCCGAAAGATGTAGCTGATAAATTTTTTTAATCGACAAATATAGTTTATTGGCGACCAAAAAATATTTTTGTCGCTAAATATTCCATCATTGGCTACTAAAAGAAATTTTAATTGGCGATAGTATATATTTTAGGCTACCAAATTATTTTTGGTCGGCGTATTATACCTTTTGCCAACAACATAATATTTGGTCGCCAAATGTCGGAATATGTATTGAAAAGTTTTTAACGACTAGCAAAAATTCAGTTGCTGTATATGTTTTTTAACTCCTTATATTATTATATATTAACATTTCCCGACAAATACAACATTTAGTCGCTAAAGATCTAAATTTTTTAGAGGCATTTATTTTATATTCGCGCCTCACACATTTTGACTCACATTTTGCCTTTGTGTACCGCCACCGCCGCTCTCTCACACAGATCCTCTCTTTCACACAGATCAATAACCAGCAAACCTCACCACCGCGCATCCTCAGCACCGTCTTCCCCGATCGACTCAAATCAGCACCGCCACCGCAGCTAACAGGTTCGGTCTCTTTCTCACTCCCTTTCGGTCTCTTACTCTGTCGGTCTCTGTCTCGGTCGCACTCTCTCTCTCTCTCTCTCTCTCTTCCCATCTGGTTTTGCTCTAGGGTTGTTTATTCTACCCATTCAATTTAATTTTTTGTTCATTTCTGCAATGGGTTTGTTTGAAGTGGTTTCATTACTAGAGTTTTACGGGTTTCATGTTGTAAATGGGTTTGATGCCTTTCCCCCTCTTTTTCCTTTCTCTCTCATTATTTTCAAAGCCCTAATCCATTGATTATTTTCATTGAAATTTTCTGTCTTGTATTCTACTTGTCATTATTTTCTAAATCTGTTTATGTAAATCTGTGTATGAAATTTACATACACAGATTATCTGTGTATGTATTCTGAGATTGAGATTGAGATTGAGATTGAGGTGTTTGAATTTAAAATACTAGAAATTGAACCATTTTAGTTGATGTTGAGAATTGAGAAATAAAAGTAGTTTCTTAGGACAATTTGGGATTGGAGAAAACATTGACACAACTTCACCTTTTGATTCACACCAAATAGGTGTTCTGGCTGAAATAAATCTTGATATAGATAAAGAAAATGTATAGAATATGATCATGAACAGTTTGCTAGATTTTTGAGATTGGCATGTCAAGTCTCTAAATAGTTCAAATTAGTTTTGTTATAACTTTCGGTGACTAATATTTTGGTTGCCAAAAATATCACTTTTGCCGACTAACCCAACTTTAGTAGCCAAACGTTGACGTTTGGCGACCAGTAATTTAGTAGCCAAATATTTACCTTTTGCCGACCAACTAAAATTTAGTAGCTAAAAATTATCTTTTCGGCGACTACTTTCTTTGTTGCCGAAAGGTAACATTGCCGACTAAAAATAATAGTAACCAAATGTTTCACTTTCAGTGACCAAACACACGTTTAGTCGCTAAAACTATTGCCAACAGGGTTTAGGCAACTAACTTGGCGACAAAAAAATTTAGTCGCTAAATGGTATCAGCGACTAAAAATGCGACCTTTGGCAACTAATATTTTGGTCGGCGAAACTGTTATTTCTTGTAGTGCATGTTCTGCTAATGGTGAGATTGCTGGTAGTGGTCATGATCTTGTTTCTTTGTAGTTGGCTCCTTTCCAATATGTTATTGGATTGGAGAGTATTATTGTGTCATTTTGGGCCTTAATTCGGTCCCATCTCAATAATCCAAACTGTTCAATGTGTAAAACTCGTCAATTACATAATTCCTGTAAAAAATGACAGTGATCTGATATCGAAAGCCACTTGATCAAATCATATTTCTATCACAATTTATTTTGAAAATTATGCATGCCATGGACAGAGTAATGTGATATAATGAAATATCTATCGACATTCGATCAGCGTAATATTTTACAAGAATAATGTACTTGACAAGCTTTATAGATTGAACAGTTCAAATTATTGAAATGGACTCGGACCACAACCCACAACAATTGAACAATGCTCTCAAATCCGATAACAGACTAGAGAGAAGCTAATTCCTTTTAAAATTTCTTCCCGCACAACACAGAGGTCACAAGTAGCCATTGGATTGGTGTTTTTTTTGTTTGTATTAGGTTCTTTGTTGTGTTTTGGTTATGTTATGTTAGTGTTTACTGTATTCCAAATATTTGTAATCTACTTTTCTTTTGAAGGAAAAATATACGGGCAATCATATTATCTAATGTGGAAATGGTTTGGATTAGATACTTGAATTACGAGCCTCGTCTGAACAATCCCCCGTCAATTGAGAAGCTACTAGAGTTTCTCAATATTTATCCACACTCCAAATTCCTAGGCTTTCAAGATGGTAGCCTCAAAATAGATGAATAGAGAGAGAATTTATTGTTTTTGGTGTGTCTACACAACGTTGAGCATGAGCCCTTATATAGGTATATATGGCAAACCATGTGTACCTCATGGTTAGGCCACACCATGTGTACCACATGTCCAAGGCCATGTGTCCCTCATGGTTTCTAAGACCATGTGTTCTTCATGGTTAGGACATGTGTGGATGGACCATGTGTACCATGTGGCCTTCAATGTTAGGTCACACCATGTGTACCACATGGTTTCTAACATCTTTCACTCATCCACACATCCACATCATGTGTTAGATGCTCATTTCTCAATCTCTCATTCAATCCACCCCTCATACAGAATAATGAAGTGTGCAACCTAACGAGAAGGTATAAGGTAAGAGTGCTATATTAAGTCACCGTAAACTACCATAGCACGTCACTTAAAATATCTCATCTACACCCTAGATTCATTGGATCACACCAAATCAAACATTTTAAAACCCCTCACGAGTCATAACTCATAAACATGTTTGACCTCAACACTATATATGTACTGATGATTATATCGTGATCTCAAATCTGACACAATCACCTACGCAATGAGCTACAATACAAGAATATGATTTCCAACAATCTTCCCTAGCCACTCATGTCAATTCACTCAAATTTGACCGCTTTCTTAGACATGGTCCTCCGGATCGTATTCATCATGACCCTTGGATGACATACCATCAAGTCATCACTTCATGACATAGTTCCAAGTTCAAGGGTATAAAGTTGGCCTAACAGGGCTCACACAATGCTAGAGCAAGGATTCATCTAGCCACTCCCTTGAGTGGTCGACGGTAGCACATATAATATGATATGTATTCTACAGCAGAGCTCCCACTAAATTGGGTCTGTCGCTCTCTAACGCAGTGCGAATCTTAGTCTAGTCGCTATACAAGCGCCTAACCTGAGTTTCTTAGCATATTCACTCATCAAGTGCTTATCTAATATCTCACATTCGGCTATATTCAGGCTTCATAAAGTTGTGAATAACTTCATATTTGACTTTTTTAAAGTCTCATCTTAGCCAATGCTAAGGTGACATCTTATAATGATAAATCAGTTTGTTCACTTCTCAAGTTTCAAAACATTTACCTCACTCGCTCTACCAGCGCTAGGGTGATCGCCAGTGTGAGAAGGCCGAGCTAAGCCTGGTGACATCATATACAATGTATGCTAATAGTATCAGTTACGCCATAAAACCACATGAATAGATAATTATGCATAAGATACTCAAAAATACCCAATAAAGTCAATGAGATATCCACAAAAACATCAAATCCTACGAAGTCCTAAACTCCTAACATGAGTTTGGGAAACGTCTCTAGCAGTGGCTTTAGTAAGTGGATCAACCACCATCCTGCTAGTAGAGATATGCTGTAGAACTACATCTCATCATGCAATCACATCTCGAATAAAGTGAAATTGAATGTCGATGTGTTTGGGTCTGCAATGATACTTAGGACCCTTAGAATATGCCAAAGCTTCCATTCTGTCAACATAGATCGTAATGGCTTTATCTGCAAAAGCTATGATCCCAAGGCATTGAAAGAATCTCCTCAACCAAACACCTCTTGTACTACTGTTGAATAAGCAACGTACTCTGACTCCATCGTGGATAAAGCAATGCATGATTGCTTAGTCGCTCCACTAAGTAGGAACAAATAACCAGTGGTAGACTTGCGCTCATTTTTATCAGCAACCCAGCCTGCGTCACTATATCCATTTAGGTCTCAAATCTCCACCCTGATAACAAAGAATAAGATCTATCGTCCCACAAATATAGCAAAAAATCCTCTTCACTGCTTGCCAGTGAACAAGTCCTGGGTTACTTTGGTAACGACTGACTAATCCCACTGCAAAACATATGTTTGGTTGATACACATCATAGCATACATCAAACTACCAACTGCACTCGCATAGGGAACTTTTGCCATGTGTTTCTTTTCCTCATTTGTCTTAGGGCAAGAGTCAATGGTCAGATTACGTCCCTTCTCAATTGGAGTGTCAATGGGTCTGAAATAGTGCATACGAAACCGTTCCAATATCCTGTTAATGTAAGTCTCTTGAGACAAATCAAGAAGCCTCTTAGAGCGAACTCTCAGGATCTTAACTCCGAGCACATAATTTGCCTCTCCCATATCCTTCATTTCAAAAATAGAGGACATCCATTCTTGAGTGGTGACAATCATCTCCATGCCATTTCCAGCTAACAAAATGTCATCAACATACAGCGATAGAACAAGGAAACTCTTTCCTGATCGTTTGACATACACACAATGGTCTTCCTCTATCATCTTAAACCCAGTCGAAATGATGGTTTTATGAAATTTAAAGTACCATTGTCTAGATGATTGCTTTAAGCCATAAATGGAACGTTTAAGGCGGCATACTTTGCGCTCTTGTCCATTGACCTCAAAGACTACTGGTTGATCCATATAGATCTCCTCATCTAGTTCTCCATTGAGAATTGCAGTCTTAACATCCATTTGGAAAAGTTCCAAATTCAAATGCGTGACAATAGCTAGAATTAGGCGAATAGAGGCAAATCTCACTACTAGGGAGAATGTCTTATCATAATCTATACCCTCTCTTTGAAAATGTTCTTCCTTTTTGATCTCAAGTTCTTTCATCTTCTACAATGCTTGAACCCTTTTTACTTTCAATTTTTTTTTCATTTCCTTCTCAGCAAGGTATTGGTTAAATGTCTCCAACAAATTGTTAAATTTGTGAACTTCAGCTTCAATAGCTTGACTTTTCCGAAGCAATTCTTTTGTAGATTTTCTACCCATAAGCCTTTTACTCCTTGCAGAGACACTACCTTCACCAATTGGATTATTACCAACAGTTGGATTGTTACCAATACTTGGACTGTTATCGTTTTCAAGAGAAATGCAGTTATCCATAAGGGACTCGGGGGCTGAATCAAGAAAAAATGGTATATGTATCATTGACTTCACTGTGTTTATAGAAGCTAAATCTTGCTACCTGATATTGTTTTGCAAGACTAGCCAACAATGTTCAAAAGCAAAATGCTTGTTTGCATCTTAATGGTATAAAAGTTTTGCTTAAAGCATCTGTATCAATAAAATATTAAATTAATTAATTAGTTAATTTTTATATGAGA